ATTATTAAGGCGAACGAGAAGTTTAGAGAAGCGTGGATCACTTCCCATGACGACGGCGTGAAGGTTCCGAGAAAACGAGCGAGTAAAGGGAGAAAGGGACAGACAGGGGGTCTCACGATAAGCGAACACGAAGTGAAGAAGCTCGAACACGTTGCATCGGGAAAATTACGAGGGCCGTCTCGCGTATTGCGTCTCGACGGGAGATCTTAATTGGGTCTGTAAGACTCGGAATGCGGACGGCTCTCGCGTAATTGTTTCCGCGCATACCTACGCCGCTGTGAATCGTACGGCTGTAAGTGCATCGCACTTCTTCCTTCTCCCATAGATCTGCGGCGTAAGATTTCTGTGCTCCGCAAAAAGATTCAGCGCAATCGACTGCGATCGACGACGTCTAAGACTCAATTTTTCATTATCTGGTTAACTTGTGATTAAGCTTAACCTGATATTTCATCTAATGAGTTTCACCTATGATATTATTATAGATGAAGCCCATTGAATAAAAGAGCAGATTAAGCCTAATTACAAGTTAACCAGAAAATGAAAAACTTGGCCTACAGGATTATTAATTCTTCTCATTCAGATGTCTGTTACGTGTACGTACGCACAATTAGTCGTAATAAATATAGTGTCTTTTATCTTATCTCTGATTTAATTGTATAAAACTGATGCTTGTCCCATAATTCACATTGTAAGGAGCTTACGGTCATCGCAGCCATCCAGGAAGAGAAAATCTACCGCGAAAATTAATATACGTATATGTAATTATGTAATCTCACGATCTCCGAGTTGATGGCTCAACTTTAAACAGATACTCGTCTCATAATTCACATTGGTAAGAGGCTTACGCTTACTGTACGTTTAGAAGCGACTGTCAAGAAACTACCATGAATATTAAAGTCCGCAGGCTTTCTCTCTATACAATTAATGATAAAATACCGCGATCTTCGAACGAATTTTGTGCAAAATGCTCGCTTCATACGACCGTACGTACGTGCGTGCGTGAGAGGAACTCAAGATCAACATTCAGAGAGCCAACCGCTCTTAGATACTGTGACGCTCTCGTCTTAAGCTCTACGCATTTAAATTCATTGAAACTAGAAATACAACGTCGAATAAATCGCCGCGACGTCAACTGCGACGTGAAATACGCCCTTTTGCATGCCGAGCGCGGTTCTCTTTCTCATCCTTTCTCTCCTCCTCCTCCTCCTTTCTCTCTCTCTCTCTCTCTCTCTCTCTCTCTCTCTCTCTCTCTCTCTCTCTCTCTCTCTCTCTTCACCTTTCTCGCATGTCGCCTATATTATCCCACACCGATGCTCCCAAGAGCACTATCTCTATCTTCTCGCCTGCGGCTCCCGAGGGAGCGAAATAGAATTCTCAGTTTCAATTCTACTATCTCTTGCTGCCTCTCCTTGCCGCCACACGCGTCTTTCTCTTTCTCTATCCCGCGTCCCTCTGTGTCGGAATAGACCAAGACTCGCCGAGGATCTTCGTTGGCGACCCTCGGAGTATCACCTTCGTTTCTCTTTATCTCCGCAGGGCAGATATTTTATCGAGATCGATCGATACACCGATACGATGATCTCCGAATTTCTGCTCTTATCACCAAGTGCGAAATATTGCGCGAATAATGACAAGCTTGCCTGAAACGAGGCAAGTGCGAGCGAAAAATTCCATGCGGGAACAGAAGGAAAAGGTACATATTTGGATGTTGTATTTTTTCCCGACGCATTAAAGTACAGAATATATTGATTCTAAAGGAAAATGTGGACTCCATTTCCTTTTCCATTTTTGTTTCTTTTTACTCTTCTTTTTTTTTGCCGTTACAATGAGTAGCAAGGAGCAAATAGCAGTCGCGTATGGAATTACGAAGATGTTGGAGAAACACAGATTAAACGCGGGTTCTTCTTCTCCTCTATTACTTCAGCAGATATCCACGCTGAGATCTGAGTAAAATCGCCGTGGTAATTGAGGCTTACCGGTGAAACGTCTCGTTGACACTTAATGTAATACAGAAATCCCCGGGTTTCGATTATGACAGCAGAAAACTCCTGCAAGAACGTTTTGGTTCCTCGTTTTTGCGCGCATTCGACGCCATCGAGTTATTCCCGTCCGACTAATCCCTACATGCCCGCGGCAGCAACGCTATGATTGGCACGCATGATTGTAACGCGATGTGTTACGGGCTTCGAAAAACGTCGGATTAATCTCGATGGATGGTGCGGTGCGATTGAGTTGGTCATCCGCGCGCGCACATGAGATAATACGGCGACTTAATGATGATAATCAGTAGAAAGTGACTGCAAATTGCTTATGCTCTGCTGCATTCGGAAAACGTGTTATTACCATTATTTATATATACATTATTTATACATATATACATTATTTATACATATATATATA